TTTAAGGGTTTATATGTCAACCTGAACCCTAAAACCCTAAACTCTGGTCCTCAAAGAAATGGGTAGCACTGGGAGTCTTTGCCTATACCGCTTGGCTTAAGGGGTTCAGTTCGGGTCTAGGGGGTTAGTCGGTTTAGGTTGGGATGTTCCTCCTCATACTAAACAGTCCGTAAAGGGATGATAGAACCCCCTACTATCATCCCGATTGAGGACTGTTAGTATTCGAGCGAACATCCCAATGTTTAGGGGTTCACCCACACAGCCCTCTCTGAGCGCGTCGCCGGTGGCTTCTCGGCTTCCCGACGCATCTGGCACTCTTCCTGGAGACTCTGAGGATCGGGGCTGGGGGCTTAGAGGGTAGAGGGTAGAGGGTTTAGGGTTTAGGGTTTAGGGTTTAGGGTTTAGGGTTTAGGGTTTAGGGTTTAGGAGATGAGCTCAGGGGGCTTGGGGGTTGAGGGTTTAGGGCTGAGGGCTTGGGGCTTGGAGCTGGGAGTTTCGGGCTTTATTTAGGGGTCTTTAGGTTCCGGAAGTCAAGGTTGGGGAGAAATGCTGGTTCGGTGTTCAGGGCTCAGAGTCTCGGGTACAGTGCAATTCTTCCCGGCTGTCTTGCTTTCAAGGATGTGGGGAAAGAAAGGACGTCGGGATGCGCAACTTGTCCTTATGAGAGTCAAAAAACAACAGCGATGTCTGCGCGCTGGTTAAATCGGTGGAACTCCTAAGGCTGCACCTAGACCCTGAAGCCTTTTAGGGTTTAGGGTTTAGGGTTTCGGGTTTAGGGCTTCGGGTTTAGGCGTAAACCTACACCCATCTCTTTGCTCAAGAGCGAAATCGGCTGGCTTAAAGCTGAGGCGCTTGCTCAGCTGTCCAAAACGTCGCCGTGGCAGGTGGTGTATCCCAAGGCTACTACGAGCTAGAACGGGCTTAGGGTTTAGGGTCTAGGCCGTCCCCCCTTACACTAACAAAGTCATCCCAAGTGTAGGGCTTGTAGGGTCTCGAGGACTCGAGGAGTCTCGCCGTCGGGATGGCACCTGCCGGCCACGATATTCGGGCAGCTCTCTAGAGCTATGATCCCTTGGTGGGTTTAGGCTATGGGGCTTAGCGTTTAGCATGTAGGGTTTGGGGTTTTAAGTTTTTGGGGCCCTCATATGTCTTCGGCGTATATCACAAACCCAAGAAGGGGCCCTACTTTAGGGAGTCTACCATATAGATACAGTGCAGCCAAGGCAGTGGTCAAACAAATCTGCCTTGGAGTCAAAAGATGCAAGGTGCATCAGTCTTTACAGCATGCAGGAGGGCCGCCCGAACGCAGAGCAGCCAATGTAGGCCTTTAAGCCTTTCCCCAACACCCCGAACCCTCAACCCTCTTGCCCAGAAGCCCTCAAAACCCTTGAAATCCTAAAAAGCCCTAGAGCCAAAAGCACATTCCAAATATCCTCAAATCCTAAACCCCGAGCCCCCAAATCGGAGCTAAACCCCGAGAGCGTGGACATAGCCGCGCAAGCATCTCTCGCGAATGCATAGTGAACCCTACACTCTACACCGTTTGCCTGGCTGGCTCTTAGCTAGGCATGAGGGAATGAGGTACCTATGTAACCCCTTAGAGGGTATGTGTAGGGCCCTAATTCCCTTATTCCCTGCTAAGAGCCAGGGGGGTTGAATCTTCTTCCAGGCCCGGGCGGCTCTAAGTTGGGATTTCGTGTTGGCGTCCGGTTCAACTTAGGGTTTAGGGTTTTGGGTTTAGGGTTTAGGGTTCAGGGTTTAGGGTTCAGCCAAGGGGTGGGTCCAGGCCTCTTCAGGTCTTCAGACGCACCCAAACGAGGTATAGGGTTTGGGGTTTAGGGTTTAGGGTGTCGGGAGGTTCGACCCAAGATATGTGTCTTGGGCATTGGGGCCAACAGGTGCTCACTCAGCATTCTTACACTTTATAGACCATCCGCCTTAAGTCTGGCGTCATTGGCAGATTCTGCGCTGCACGGCCCGTCCGTGTTGGGAAGACATGCAACATTGCCGTCAGGTTCGCTGCGCAAACCCTAAACCCCTAACTCTTCCTGTAGATTTTCTCGCCCCCTTAGAGCAAACTGCCAAAGGAAGAGGACCAAACGCGACGCAGAACATGAGTAAGCTCTCTAAACATGAGGTTTTTACCCTAAACCCTAAACCCTAAACCCTAAACCCTAAACCCTAAACCCTAAACCCTAAACCCTAAACCCTAAACCCTGAACCTTTCTTGGGACATTGCGAGGCTGCCGTCTCTAGAGGCGACAAGGGTGTACAAGGGATCCGGGGTTCTGAGCTCTTCGGCTTTCGGGGTTCAGGGTTGAGGGTTCAGGGTTTAAGGGGTTGAGGGGTTAGGGGGTTAGGGGGTTTAGGGGTTTAGGGGTTTAGGGGTTAGGGTTTAGGGCTTAGGGTTTAGGGTTTAGGGTTTAGGTTAGGCTTTAGGGTTAAGGTATCGAGGTGCAGCGCCGCGACGCGCAGTATGCTCAACCCCAGGCTGCCACCCGGATGTTCCCCCCTTATACTAACAGCCCTTACCTGGGAGTATAAACGGGGTACTGAAATCCCTACAGGACTGTTAGTATAAGGGTGAACATCCCAACCTAGAGCTATAGCAAATAACAAGCCAATCTTTGTGAGTTTCCTGGGGCTCTAAACCCTAAACCCTAAACCCCAAACCCCTGACGACCCATGGAGGCCTCCAGGTCAAAAGGACCCCCCTCGCAGACAAAGGAGCTTTCCGTGTGGAGCCCCCTCTTGCGGCCCTTTGGTGCAATCAGTTTCGGTTTTGAAAGTTTAGGGTTTAGGGTTTAGGGTTAGGGTTTAGGGTTTAGGGTTTAGGGTTTAGGGTTTAGGGTTTAGGGTTTAGGGTTTAGGGTTTAGGGTTTAGGGTTAGGTTTAGGGTTTAGGGTTTAGGGTTTAGGGTTTAGGGTTTAGGGTTTAGGGTTTAGGGTTTAGGGTTTAGGGTTTAGGGTTTAGGGTTTAGGGTTTAGAGTTTAGAGTTTGCTTTTTTGTTTATCTGGATTCGCCGTTTTCGGGTTTCGGGTCTAGGGTTTCGGGTTTAGGGTTCTTCGTCTACTCCTGGGCGTCCTAGAACTGCTGCACTTCCCTGCCGCAGGACCGGCTTTCTTGTCTGGGAGGTCCGCATGCATTTTATTAGGCTGGGCTGTTGTGACGGGGAGGTGCCGAAACGCATGTCCGGCAACAAGATCCCCTCTCAACAACCCCCAAGCACGGCGCTATTCGCACGTCTTGCACATAAAATCCGCTGTTGAAAATTTGCGGGCTCGCTGCCTACATTGCTGCAGGCAGGCTGAAGGGAAGACCTTGAGTCGAATCGAAGCTGTGGTGATCGCCTGGCACCAAGCCTTTGCAGCTGGGTGCAAAATTCTCGACTGACGCAGAGAACAAGCACAACCCTGAACCCACCAGCCTTACAAACTCCCAAGAAACCCCAAGCCAAGAAGCAAAGTTGGTACACAGACCATTCAAGGAGACATGCACCGCTTTGGCTGGCGTTTTTCGCTAGGTTTCCGGAACTCCTCCGGTCCGGGTGGTAGGGCTGAAGGTTTAGGAACCCTAAACCCTAAAACCCGAAGCCCTAAACCCTAAACCCTAAACCCTAAACCCTAAACCCTAAACCCTAAACCCTAAACCCTACACCCCAACTAAGCCCTAAACCCTAGGCCCATTTCTACTCATGAGCTTGGGTCCGACAAGTCTCGGCCCGTTGCGCTTCTTGAGCGTTCATATTTTCAGGGACAAGGCTCACACGATGTATGAGAACCCTGTGATGGCGTCTACTTGAAGGTCCAAGGGTACTTGGAAGTAGGGTTGCAAGGTACCCTAAATAAGGCGATAACCAGCTATCCCTAAATAAGGCGACAACCAGCAATAGTTCTGATTCCCTAAACCCTAAACCCCAAACCCCAAACCCTAAACCCTAAACCCGAAACCCAGATTCAGGACAGGCAGGTCGAGGGTGTATGTGGGTTTTTGGCTTTAGTAGGGCTTAAGGAGCCTGAGGCTGGGGCGAGGGCAAAGGGTTTAGGGTTTAGGGTTTAGGGTTTAGGGTTTAGGGTTTAGGGTTTAGGGTTTAGGGTTTAGGGTTTAGGGTTTAGGGTTTAGGGTTTAGGGTTTAGGGTTTAGGGTTTAGGGTTTAGGGTTTAGGGTTTAGGGTTTAGGGTTTAGGGTTTAGGGTTTAGGGTTTAGGGTTTAGGGTTTAGAGTTTGGGGACCAACCCTAGGATTTGAACAGCCTAGCCTCTGGTGGCAACAAACTGCAACGAATGCCACAGTCGAGAAAGCCGCTGCGGCATCCACGCGCTGAGTAGGGTGGAGGCATCCGGATTCGGGGTAATTAGAGGGCTCTAGCCTCGGGGCTTTAGGGATTTAAAGCTTCATGCAGCGAAGGGCCGCGCCTTTAGCGACCGGGCTATGCAGAGGGCAGGGTCCTCAAGAAATCAAGAAAAACCTACATAATCCCTACAGCGTCAATGCTACGGCAGAGGGCTTAGGGCTTTACGATGCCCTCAACCCGGTACATGGCCTAACTTGGCTCCCTTCTTCCCTAAACCCGAAACCCTCTAACACGAGCCAAGTCGGTTTGAGGGTGCCCAAGAAGGGTGCGCGGATCCCCGAAAGACCATTTTAGGAGTTATGCTATCCCTACAAAGACTAGACCCAGAAGTAGCCTAGGAATGAAAAAGGGTGCCCTTTCTGGTGTAAAGGGGCTCATAAGGGAACCTAAACCCTAAACACAAGGCCTACTCTGGGTCCTACAAAATCTCTGCAGCTCTTAGGGAGTTTGGGGAATTTAAGAGTTAATAGGGGGCATAGAAAGGTCTCTGCGGGTTCTAGAAAGGCTACGAAAGGGGTCCGTGAGGAAAACTACCCACCTGAAACCATCCTACGCAGAACCTCTTGAACGACCGAAGCCCGCCACCGAACCCCTGCCCGCCACGGTGGCACGAAGCCCTTCTGCATGGGGCCTTCGGCCGACAAGCTTCACTGGAAGTACCTTGGCCACGCAAATTCTGCACTTCAAACTCGGGGCCTTTGATGAAAAGTAGTCGACCGACAAAAATTTGGGCAATTAGGGCTTCAGACTTCGAGGAAGCCCCTTGCCAAGGACCCCTTGCAGAAACCCTAAGCCCCTAACCACAACCCGAAACCCCTAAACCCTAAACCCTACAAGCCCTAGCGTTTCACCTGATGACCCTCATGCGCAACATCGCCGACTCGGGAACGCGCTCTTTCTAAGTTTAGGGTGCAATTGGGGATGTGAAGGGTCCTAGCACCTGAAGGCCTCTTAGCCATGAACATAGGACGGCCAAAAAAAACGTCGAGCCACAGCTCATCCGCCCACAGCGCGAACTCCAAAGAAAGCTCGTTGCTGCGTTCGTCGTTTAGGGCCCTAAACCCGAAGCCTCTAAGCCCTAACCCCCAAACCCGAAACCCAAACCCGAAACCCTAACCCCTAAACTCCTAAACCATGAACCTCTACACCCAAAACCCTAAACCCTAAACCCTATATAAATCCTAAACCCTAAACCCTAAACCCTAAACCCGAAACCCGAAACCCTGAACAAACCAACCCTGAACCTTGCAAGACGCGTGCCGTCGAGCTGCTCGCCGCGCGTGCCTCGAAGGCGTCGCGCAGGGCCCTCCCCCTGTCATCAGGTTTAGGGTTTAGGGTCTGGGGTTTGGGGTTTGGGGTTTTGGGTTTAGGGTTCAGGGTTCAGGGTTTAAGGGTTTTAGGGTTGAGGGTTTAGGGTTTCGGGCTTGGGGTTAGAGAAAGGAGAGGCTCCAGGGCTTAGGGGATTCAGGTTTGTAGGTTTTGGAAAGGGGGCTCAAGGGCTTGGGGTTAGGGTTTAAGGTTTCGAGTTTGGGGGTTGAGGGCGCAGGAATGAGGGAATCCTATAGGCTCAGGATTCACGCCTTTGGCCTTGCTACCTTGTTGAGATGAATGCAGACTCGAAATCGTGGACGGTGGTCCCTAGGTTAAGCCTAACCCCTGAGTAGCCCTGAGCCCGCAACCCTTGACCGCCACAGATGTTGAGAAGCCAATTTCAAGCACACATCCTAAAGCCCTATATTGACCCTAAACCTCCAAACCCTACTCCTAAGATCCTATAGACTCAGCCCAACCCCAAAACCTGTTTGACCTTAGACCCCTAAACCCTGAACCCTGAACCCTAAACCCTAAGCCTAAACCCTAAACCCTAAACCCTAAACCCTAGACCCTAGACCCTAAACCCTACACCCTAAACCCTAAACCCTAAACCCTAAACCCTGCCTCGCCCGGGAGCTTGAGTCCGCCGCCCTCCTCCACCACGGGTGGCGGCAGAATCACCAGCTCGTCCTCCGTCTTCGGGTTTAGGGTTTAGGGTTTAGGGTTCAGGGTTCAGGGTTTAGGGTTTAGGGTTTAGGGTTTAGGGTTTAGGGTTTAGGGTGGCCAAGCTCTCCAGTGTCCCGCGGGAGAACCCAACAACAAAGTAGTAGGGAATCAGGGAACGTTTCGGGTTTACCTGCTCGTAGTAGCCGAAGAGCCTTGCAAACCCTGGGTTCAGGGTTACTTCGGGTTTAGGGTTTAGAGTTTAGGGCGGTCCGTCCTTCGGAGGCTGTCCCCAAGCTTGCTCTCTCACCTGGCAACCGGGGTCACCACCCACGACTTGAGCACCTCGACCACGAAGCCCTAGAAATCAAACAAGCCCCCAAGCCCCGCCTGGACAAACGTCAAAGCCCGCATACCCCCACCCCCACACCCTCCACCCCCGGAGATCCCGAACTCCCCAAATTGCACAAGACCACAAGACACGCTCGCTGCCACATGTTGCCGACCCGAAACCCGAAAGCAAGAAGAACAGAGAGAAGAGCCGAGACCATGAGAGGTTCCAAGAAGGGCCCCTACGCCCTAAACCCTAAACCCTAAACCCTAAACCCTAAACCCTAAACCCCAACCACCAACCTACACCCCAAAACCCTAAACCCTAAACCCTAAACCCTAAACCCCAACCACCAATCTACACCCCAAAACCCTACAAACCCACCTTTTGCTGCAGGCCTCGAAGATCCGGCTGGAGCCGTGGATGGGGAAAATGGCCCCGCCCAGGGTCTTGGCATTGCCACCTGGATAGATAGGGTTGAGGAAATAGGGTTTAGGGTTTAGGCATAAAGTGTTTAGGGTTTAGGGTTTCAGGTTAGGGTTTAGGGTTTAGGTTTTTGGTTTTAGGGTTTAGGGTTTAGGGTTTAGGGACCCGTGATATAGTCCCCGAAGAGTAGGATTCCCTCATAATAGACCCCAAATAGGCACCCTAATTTCGGAAACCCCCAAATTGGTGAGCTAGGGGTTTATGCGTTAGGGTACCCTTTCGGCGCTCTAAATGACACCAAATATGGAGCTGGCGAGCTCTCATCTACACCCCCTGAAACCCCAAAGCAGAAAGCCTGGAGGAGCTCTGGCGGCCGAGACCCCTTCTACCAGTTTGTCTTAGCCTGGGTTCTTCTGGCTTGGATTGAGGATAGGAGGGTTTTCGGGTTAGGGTGCCAAGGATGCACCTGGAACCCCCCTCGCTGGGCTTCCCGGCTGTAGTGAAAGATGTACCATCCTTGGTAGCCAAGAAACCATATTGCAGTATGGGCACCCTTTTTCTGGTTGGTTGCTTTAAAAGGGAACCCAGAGCAATAAAAAGAAGTAAAGGGTACCACTGCGCTACCAAGCGGCCGGGCGGGGCCTCGGGAGGAACGGTCCACGACAAGGTCACCACGCTGGCGGAGATGCCCACCCGCTTCCACGCGAACCTCGGTGCCACGTCTGGCCCCAATCCCTGGCCCCCTGAAAGCTCCCAAAACAACCGCAAACCCTAAACTCCCAAATCCTAAACCCTAAACCCTGAACCCTAAACCCTAAACACCAGAACAAGCAAGCGACATAAACAAATCCCTAGAAAAAGATGCTAAACCCAGAAATCGGGGGCTTGGGCTTGTGTCTCCCGGGCGAAAAAATACCGTTCAGAGCTGCTCAAGAGCCCAACGGGGGGGAGCGGAAATCGGGTTTGGATTACTGGGCCCAAGGCCTGCTCCCCACAGGGACCCAAACGATGAACATGTTTTGAACTGAAAGAGGTCGAAAGAGAAAGAGAAGGAGAAAGACAGAGGGAGAGAGAGGCAGAGAGAGAGAGAGTTTCGATTTGCACTTGCAGTGCGGCCTACCACTCACGTCCGTCTCGACATCGCAGAGCGTCATCGTCTGTTATCAACACGGCGCCAGTTTGTAACGGCAATGTTGGCTGATGTGGATACGGCAATCATGCGGAGTCTCATCCACCAAAAACTTGGAGGTAGGGGAAAGCAATACTGTGCACACAGCAGCAAAGTGGGCAACGAGCAAGGTTGCCAACGCCGGGCAGCGATTAACTTGGGGGTTGAGGGCCTGGGACGAAAGCTAGTTAAGGTACCCCCACGGAAGAGCTTCCGTCAACATGGCATCAACTACGCAGAAGGACAAGCACACGCAAAGGCAGCAGGTCGTGTCACCTTTTTTTCCGGCGCAGGTGCCAATATTGACGTGGCATTCCTTCTGGCAATGTGTTGGTGTGTTGCTTTGCTCTGCGGTGTTTTAGCATCTTCCGGAGGGCTCTTTTTTGAAACGCATGACACCACAGCAGATGTTGCACTCACCAGGCGAACCTGTCCAATCCAGCTTTGAGGGACGCCGGACTCAAGTCAACATCAAGGCTTCTGAGTCTTTTCTTAGGGGGCTTTTCTGTTAGCATCTTCCGGAGGGCACTTTTTTGAAGCGCATGACACCACAACAGATGTTGCACTCACCAGGCGAAGTCTGAAGTCTGTCCAATCCAGCTTTGAGGGAGGCCAGACTCAAATCAACATCAAGGCTTCTGAGTCTTTTCTTGGGGGACTTGGGGGGCTTTTCTAGGGCCTGGGATCCACGGAAAACAGCGCTCATTTGCACCCAATATACGAAAGAAATGAACGCCAGCCCGTTTCCCCAAAACCTGTGTTCGCCACCCGGAAATCGACCGGGTTTGCTGCGTTTCGTGGCGGAGCCTCCGGGGCCCTGTATACCCTTCAGGTTGTAAGCTTCGCTTAGGTAAGATACTCCGCTAGCTCCTCAGGGGCTAGCTTTCGTGACAAGGGGCAGCACATGAGCGCATGGTTTGTTGGAGACCTTTGTGTCACAGGAGCATCTCCCAGCGTATTGCCGGCGGATTGGATGTCTCAGTGCATTGCAGGCCTTGCACCGGTATTCCTCTTGGCTCGCTTGAATCTGTTTGACGTTTGTCATCCCTAAACCCTAAACCCTAAACCCTAAACCCTAAACCCTAAACCCTAAACCCTTAACCCTTAACCCTTAACCCTACCCCCCAAACCCTGAACCCTAAAGACTGAACCCCAGAACTGGCGGGAAGCTTCGCTTGAAGAACGATCCCCTCACAGGCATTCAGAGTGTCGGGTTCAGGAATTTTGGGTCCTTCTTGTCGGGTCCCTGTCAGAGAACCCGAACAGGGCTCATAGCTTCCAAGAAGGAACATCTACACCCAACACTGCCCGACACTCCAGACCTAAATGCTCAAAGCCACAGCCCTAAACAGGGCTCAGGGTTTGCTGGTTGGGAGTTTAGGTCTTAGGGTCCTGGATTCCCTACAACATCTAAACCCTAAACCCTAAACCCTAAACCCTAAACCCTAAACCCTAAAGCCTAAACCCTAAGCCAGAGGAGAAGCTTGGTTTCAAAGTCATTGTCGTCGGCCACCAAACGCCACTCCCCTGCTGCGGAGTCGTCGCCTGGGCCATTCCAGGCTGCTTGTACCCCTTAACCCCCCAAGGGCCCCTAAACCCTAAACCCTAAACCCTAAACCCTAAACCCTAAACCCTAAACCCTAAACCCTAAACCCTAAACCCTAAACCCTAAACCCTAAACTAAGTGAGGGGTCGCTTCCGTCGAGCGACAGACCCCGAACGCTCGGCCGAGGGCCTTACAGCCCGAGCGCCCAAGCGAAAAGAGAAACGGAAAGGTGAGGGTTAAGCCTCACCGTCTGTCCTGGACAGGCCAACGGACATCGGCCTTTTTTACGACAACGTCAGTACTCGGCTAAGGGATGGCCGGCACCCAGACCACCTTTAGCGTAGCTAAAGTATAACCCCAAATCGTAACCCTTTGCCTCTGGAGGTCGGTTCAGGGTTATGGGTTCAGGGTTTGTCGGGCCCCCCCCCCCGGGGGCCCCCTGGTCCCTGGTAGCTGGATTCCTGGACCAGGAGGCTGGCGGAGGGGTCCAGGCAGGCTGGTTGCTCAATTTCGCGTTTTGGGGCTTTTTCACAGGATTTTGGTCCAAGGGCCCCCCGGGCCAAGGGCCCCCCGGGCCAAGTGCCCCCCCGGGCCAAGGGCCCCCCGGGCCAAGGGCCGCAACCCCCCCGGCCAAGGGGCCCCTGGGGCGAAAGGGGCCATCAGGTTAAGGGCGGGCCAAGGGCTGCCGGCCAAGGGCCCCCCGGGCCAAGGGCCCCCCACACCAAGGGCCGCCAAGGGCCCCGCCCGGGGGGTCTGGGTGGGCTGGCTACCCGGGTTAAGGGCCCCCCAGAGGCCCCGGGCCAAGGGCCCCCCAGCCAAGGGCCAAGATCCGGGCCAAGGGCCGCTCGGGCCAAGAGCCCCCCCAGCCGGACCCCTCGCCGGAAGCCTTTATAGCAAGGGCCCGGGACCGACCCAAGCCCCCCTCCCAAAAGCCACCAAAAGGCTTCAAAAGCTTCAAAAGGCCCACTAAAAGAAGGGGACCATAAGATTTGTCCGTGCCCACAATGAAAAATGCGATTTTTGAATATTGAAAACGATGGTTTTACGCCCCCCTGCCCGTAATGAAAAATGCTCTTTTTTAGTACTGAAATCGATGGCTCCCCCAAATCAGCAAGGACCTCTACGGGCCCTGACGTGCCGAAGGCCCGGAAAGGACCGAGGCTACCCCGAACCCCAACCGAAACCCTAACACCGCAAAACCCTACGACGGCCTTCAAGTAAATAAGGGCCTCTCCGGGCCCTAACGTGCCGAAGGCCCGAAAAGGGCCGAGGCTACCCCGAACCCCAGCTTAAACCCGAACACCGCAAAACCCTGCGAAGGCCTTCAAGCAAATAAGGGCCTCTACGGGCCCTAACTTGCCGAAGGCCCGAAAAGGGCCGAGGCTACCCCGAACCCCAGCTTAAACCCTAGCGATTGGGTTCCCTGACCTTCAAATGAACAAAACCTCTGACACGCCGAAGGTCCGAACAAGGCCCCGAGAGACCCCAAGAGCCACCAAAATGCTTCAAAAGGCTTCAAAAAGGCCCCCTAAAAGAAGGGGGACCCCAGGATGCCCGTACCCGCAATGAAAAATGCGATTTTTTGGTAGTGAAATCGATGCTTAATTGAGGCCCTTAAAGAAGGGGAATCCAGGAGCAGACACAAAGGGTTTCCCTGACCTTCAAATAAATAAGGGCCTCTACGGGCCCTGACACGCCGAAGGCCCGAAAAGGGCCGAGGCTACCCCCAACCCCAGCTTAAACCCTAACAGCGCAACTTTAAAAACATCAAAGCAAGCATCAAAGCACAAGAAAGTAAATTCCATAAACCCTAAACCCTAATAGAGTATAGTTTGGGTGGCCGGGGTGGGTTGACGGGCAACGCGAGCGCGCGGCCCGGGGTGTTTCACACCCGAGCGCGCGCCCTCCCCTGACACACCCTAAACCCTAAACCCTAAACCCTAAACCCTGATGCGACAACATGTCCACTGATCCTCGCTTTGCTCTTGCGGGCCCATCGCCAGATCGAAGCTCACAAGCCCCTGAAGACCCTAGATTTCAAGGAACCCCAGGTTTCGGAAAACGACCGCAGGAACCCCCAGCTTCGTTTCTACTCCTATGGGGGCTTGGTAGAGTTCGGGAAAACCCTAAACCTAAATACCCTGAAGCCTAAACACTGAAGTCTGCAAAAAGAGCAAAGCCCCGGGCTCGTGTTGGCGGCCTTCCAATGCCAAACTGTGCCAAAGCTGCTGTTCCTCCCGAGTACTTCAGCCAGAAACCCTCAACCCTAAACCCTAATGTGGTTCTGCAGCACCCTAAACCCCAAACCCTAAACCCTAGAAGTTTCCCAAATCCCCCGTTCGTTGCCGGAGGCCTTCAGTAGGGTTGCTCAAGAGGCTTATCCCCAACCTTAGTCTCAAGGACTATAGCTGTGGGCTTCAGGTCCTGGGCCGCAATGGGTGTAGGAACCCAGAGAAAGGGCTTAGGGTGTTCGGGTTCTCGCTGCAACCATTCCGAGGCCGGCGGCAAGATGCGGCGTCTTAGGGTTTCGGATTTTGCGGGTTCAGGATTTGGGGGTCCACATGGGGTCCTGCGCACCGGACACTTGGACAACAGAAAGACCTGAAGGCATTGTTGGAGCGATCCAATGACAAATCGAAACGAGTAGGGCCCAAATATATTTTAAAAAGAAAAGGTATCCACCGGCGAGCTCCGCATCAACACTCCGACAACCCGAAAAACCAGAATCCTGGCTATGGCCACAGCAACATTCGTGATACACATACAGTACACCCCAAACTCTAAACCCATATTTATGGGTTTTAAAGGCCAACCCTGCACTCGATGCACCCTACACAAACAAGCCTCAAGGCTTTGGATAGGGGTTGCTTGGGGGTTCATGGGTATTCCAGGAAATGCTACAACCAAGTGCAACTATTCATGTCCTACTTCTGAGAGCCCATGAGTCTTTTTCTGGGCAGGGGGGGGGTTAGTAAAGGACAGTATAGGGTTCTGCAAGAATCCCTAGGCCTAAACCAATGGCCCGAAGCGGTCTGACAGTGGGTCGTATGAGTTCATGAGAAGGCGTACTGCAAGGCCCATGAACATTGCGAATGAAGCCCTGAACCCTAAACCCTAGACCCCAAACCCTAAACCCTAAACCTTTCATCCTAAGCCCTGTTCGGCTCCTCTTCGCGTCGTTCCGCGGGTGGGCACCCCAGATCTCAACGCGTGCCGTGGCCTAGGACAGCACGGCAACCCTACACCCTAAACCCCAAACCCTAAACCCTAAACCCTAAACCCCAAACCCCAAGCCCTAAACCCCAAACCCTAAACCCCAAACCCTAAACCCCAAACCCTAAACCCCAAACCCTAAACCCCAAACCCTAAACCCCAAAAAAGGGTTTGGGGCGAAGGTAGGACAGCACGGCTGAAGGGCCTTCTGAGCCTGAAGGGCTTGGTTCAAGGCAGCCTGAGCCTTGAGTTTAGGGTTTAGGGTTTAGGGTTTAGGGTTTAGGGTTTAGGGTTTCGGGTTTCGGGTTTGGGGTTTGGGGTTTGGGGTTTGGGGTTTAGGGCTTGAACCCCAACCCTTGGCCCCCAAACAGCTCTCAGCCCCAAACGCTACACCCCACCCTGCAACCCTCAGCTACTCAAACCCTAAACCCTGAACGCAAAACCCCGATCAAGCCCCTAAACCCTAAACCCGAAACCCGAAACCCTAAACCCCAAACCCTCAACCCTAAAGCCTAAAGCCTAAACCCTACACCCTACTCTTCCCGCCTGAACCTTAACTCTCTTTTCTGCGCCAATCGACTCCGGGATGGTAGGTGCCAGGGGCGACGTCCTCCTTGACGTCGCCGAACCTGCTGGGTTTCGGGCTTGAAGGGTTTTTTGGGGTTCAGGGCTTAGGGTTTAGGGTTTAGGGTTTAGGGTTTAGGGTTTAGGGTTTAGGGTTTAGGGTTTAGGGTTTAGGGTTTAGGGTTAGCACGTGAGCTGGTTTCAAGTGAGGTCTGGAGCAACCACGAAGTCGGAAAGCCACATTAAACTTAATCAACAAACCTTGGGCTTCGCTGGCTTTGTCGCTTATTTGTGGGTAAAATCACGGGGCCCTGAGCCCTAAAGTGTAATTAGCCTGAGTATGTGAGGTTTTTAGGGTTTAGGGCCATATTGCCTTCCCTATTGGCAGATTGCGTTGTCAGTTCTCTCAGTTCTGGTCCTGTTTCCGTATATGTTGCTATAGTACACTTCGGAGCCTTCTGTGTACCCAAAAGTGACCATAATTCAGAGGACAGCCCACAGGAATGCTGTTTCGGAGCATGCATACAAGGTGAGGGATTGTAGTGGGGTGAACACGAGCACGCATTAGACGGCTTACAAGAGACTGATTGGTCAGTCAGGAAGGCCATTAATAATCACAGCGCTTGTCTTCCTACCCTTCGACAACCAGTGGATAACAGCATCCAAGGGCAGATCACGAAAACCTCCGCCTTTGCTGATTTTCTACGATGGGCCAAGGTGCTTTCGTTCAGGAGAAGCTATAGCAAGTGAGCTCTCACGATTCCCTGTTTTGGGGGGCTTTCGGGGCTTCTAGGGTCTAGGCATGTAGGGGTCTAGGGGTCTAGGGGTCCAGGGGTCCAGGGGTTTAGGGGTTTAGGGTCCAGCTTCCTTGCCCCCAACCAAGGCCGCAGCTTTCCCCCGATCGGCGGATCATCCACCATCACCTGCCGAAGCTTCAAGGGCAAGGCCCTTGGGGCTCGGGGCTTAGAGACTTAGAGGCTTAGAGGCAGGCTTCCGCGGCTTTTCCAGGCCCCTAAAGCCCTGCACCCTAAAACTCTCAACCCCTAAACCTCTAAACCTCTAAACCCCTAAACCCCTAAACCCCTAAACCCCTAAACCCCTAAACCCCTGAACCCCTAAACCCCTAAACCCCTAGACCCCTAAACCCTTAAACTCCTAAACCCCTAAACCCCCAAGTCCTGCCCAAACCCCAGGGCTTCGAACTTCAGGCTTGCGAAGGGGGGGAAATCTTGGGAGACTTCGGAGAGCTCAGAAGTTTAGGGGGTTTTAGGGTTTAGGGTTTAGGGTTTAGGGTTTAGGGTTTAGGGTTTAGGGTTTAGGGTTTAGGGTTTAGGGTTTAGGGTTTAGGGTTTAGGGTTTAGGGTTTAGGGTTTAGGGTACTCTCCGAATCCTGAAGGCCCTGACAAGATGCGAAGACCCCTGCGGTTTTGGGTTGGGGGTTGAGTTTGGAGCTTGGCGTTTGGAGTTCGGGTTCGGGGTTGGGTTTGGAGTTTGGAGTTTGGGGTTTGGGGTTTGGGGCGTAAAGTTAAAACCCAACAAGGGGAAAAGTGCAAACTTATCCAGACCCCATGTACGGGCCCTAAACCCAAAACCCTCAACCCTCAACCCTCAACCCTAAACCCTAAACCCTAAACCCTAAACCCTAAACCCTAAACCCTAAACCCCCAAAACCAAAACCGCGGCCTTTGTCTGGCCTTCCACCATGCGAGCCTGCGCTTCGCAAGGGGCCATGAGTTGCACTTAGGGTTTTGGGGCGCGCCCTAAGCCCTAAACCCTAAGCCCCAAGCCCTAAACCCTAAACCCTAAACCCTAAGCCCTAAGCCCTAAGCCCTAAGCCTCCCTAAACCCAAAGGCCTTCTAGGACTTTGGACTTCGGGTTTCGAGGTTAGGTCGAAGAATAGAAGCGACATCTTTTAGTCAATCAAGGAACCCCGAGCCGAAAAACAGGGAACTGCTGACTTTCCGTTGGGGTTTAGAGTTTAGGGTTTTCGGGTTTTAGGGTTTCAGATGCTATTTGAGAGGATTAGGTGTATAAAGTATCCTCAAACCCTAAACCCTAAACCCTGGTTGAAATCCCTCAACCCTGAACCCTAAACCCCTCAACCCGACAATCCAAGCCCAAAAGGCTTCAGGAGGGTCGGGCATCAGATGAGGGTTTGAGCATGTGGGGCTCAGAGCAAAAGTTCTGGGATTTGAGGGCAGGCTTGGGGTTTAGGAGTTGTGGGTGAAGGGCTGAGTATCCCTGAACCCTAAACCCTAATCCCTAAACCCTAAAGCCTAAACCCTAAACCATAAACCCTGGCCCCAGAGACTGGGGGCATGGCCGCTGTTGGCAACTTTGGCTTCATTCCGGGAAAGGTGTGCTTTCCATCTGCCATGTCCTCTGCAGGGGTTCCGGGGCTTCGGGCCCTTAAAAGGGGAGCACTTATATACCCAACACCAAAAAAACTCCTTATATACCTCTTATATACCCCTTATATAACCCTTATATACCCTAGAATTACTATGCAACCCAAGAGCTTTTGGGTTTTTGAGCTTCATGCAAAATTCTAGAGGTTGAGCATGGTTTGTTTGAGGTGTTAGAAGCCGGAACTGGGAGCCCTAGAGGATTTCAGGGCTTAGGGCAGTTTGGGGTGCACGGCGGCGAGATGGCTTGGGTCTGCCGCACTTTGGGTCTGTGGGGTCGTGGCTGTGTGGTGAAATCTGGGGGTAAGGCTTGGAATGATTGGGTGGGGGGGGGGTCTCCCTCGTAACAATCCCATGAAGAATATACACGTGCGGCAAATGGCGTCCGTCCTGTGCCATCTCGACCAAGATTTGAGTCATCGCCTGAAGTGTCGAGACGCTCTACTTAATAACCTCATTTAAGAATAGAAGTTTACCTAAGCATTTTTCTTCTTGAAATCAAGTACAAGGCTTCCAGAATCGTGCCCAAGCAACAAGCTTCATGGAAGTCAAGCTTTCCTTTTGGGGTATTCTAGGGCGAAGGGCCTTCCTCATAGAAATGGAAGTCATACGACTTGTCGAAACCCGTAACCTCAAAACTGCCCGACACCCGCACATGGTAAGGCTTTCCGTTTTGAGGCATCAGACGCCATCTTAAACATTGCAAACTCAGGTTCTTAAAGCCACAGAAGAAGCCCCAAACACCACCGAACTAAGGAACGGGATCCTGGCTATTAGCCAAGGTGGATTCTGCAATACTTAGGGGGTTTAGGGTTTAGGGTTTAGGGTGTAGGGTTTAGGGTTTAGGGTTTAGGGTTTAGGGTTTAGGGTTTAGGGTTTAGGGTTTAGGGTTTGGGGTTTGGGGTTTGGGGTTTGGGGTTTGGGGTTTAGGGTTGGGGTTAAACTAAAACTTCGAACCCGAAAGCCTTAAAAACTTGCCTTGTGCGTGTGCGGGCCGAAGGCGGTAAAGCCGCCTTCGTAGCGCTGGTGCTGGTACTCCTGCCACGGTTTAGGGTTTAGGGTTTAGGGTTTAGGGTTTAGGGTTTAGGTTTTAGGTTTTAGGGTTTAGGGTTCAGGGTTCAGGGTTCAGGGTTTAGGGTTTAGGGTTTAGGGTTTAGGGTTTAGGGTTTAGGGTTTAGGGTTTAGGGTTTAGGGTTAGGGTTTAGGGTTTAGGGTTTAGGGTTTTACGCCCAAGATGACGTCATGAGGCATCCCCCTTTCCACCCGTCGCGCCCGACCTCTCCGCTTCAGGTTTGGGGTTTTGGGCTTCGGTCGGCCCCTGGTGCTAAACCCGCGCCACACCTAAACCTCAAGCACAGCACATGCCTTTTGCTGTTACTAAACCCTAATCCCTCTACATCAGCCTCGCAGCCTTTGTTTAGGGTTTAGGGTTTACGGGCTGCAGGTTTAATTCGGGTTTCGGGCTTAGGGTCAGATTTTTTAACCGAGGCGTTTCTACGCCCCGAAGCTTAGGCAGCCCTGAACCCTAATGTCGGACGCGCAGGAGTAGCGGCCCCCTGAATTAAGTCATGTTGGCCGGGCTATTCAGGGGCACCCTGACTGTTTGGGGGTGCGCGGTGAGATCCTCCATTGGGTCAAATCGTCTGGATAAGAAAATTCGTGCGGCGCACCTTTGAAACCAATTGCCAGGCATCGCTGACCCGGTTTCAAATACATACACTCCTTTCTGGGAGGGGGAGGGGGGGAGCCCACACACTAAATAAGCAGGTCCAACATTAAACCCTCAACCCCGAACCCCAAACCTAAAACCAACCTAAGCCCTCCTCGAAGGTGGTAACGTAGCCCGCATAGCCTGGGGGCGCATGCGCGTTGAAACGGTTTGGGGGAGGGGGGGGAAAGGGGCAAGACGCCTCATGCGCCAGCGTGGTCAAGGGATGCAGTGTATGTCAATGTCCTAAGTTGCTGACTCCCTTGGCCCAAAAAAAAGCGAGCCAAAATTGTAGGTTTACATATACATATGTAGATGTATATATATATATATATATATACATACATACATACATACATACATACATACATACATACATACATACATACATACATACATACATAAATACATACACACATACATACATACATACATACATACATACATACATACATACATACATACATACATACATACATACACGTCCAAAAAGGCTAAAGTGCCATGCGTGCAAAGCATGACCCCGGCGTGGAGCGTAAAACGTGCTACCAACCAGAGGTTGAGAGGTCAGTCGAGGAGTCGGGTTGTAAAGGCCGCGGTGGGCGTGGGGGATGCGGTAGTTGTACTTCCCGACCCAGCCACGATGACGTAGCCTATATGGCGCAAGGTGTGCTGCGTCCCAGTTGGGGCAGGCCGTACTCCGCCCAATTTCACAAGGCAAGGGTAATGGCAACCCTGAGCCCCCGAAATCCCTTGAAGCCCCAGTTCCAAATGCCAAGGCTGTGACCGCTCGCCACGTTGTTCAGCACCTCGGTGAAGGCTAGCAAGGCTCATTTCTAGGGTTTCTTTTGAGTTTAGGGCTGAGAATTTCGAGTCTAGGGCTTTGGATTTTTAAGACACAGATTCAGCCCTATATGCGGCGGGTCGAAATGATGATCCCCCTTCGAGGGGACCGACCCTTTTCAACTCCGAGAGCTTCGCCTGGGTTTATCAAGTCCTTGGGGTGATAGGATTGGTTCTTGGCTCCCAAAGGACGAGGAAGGAGTACGCACGCAGGGTTTCGGGTTTAGGGTTTAGGGTTTTAGGGTTTCGGGTTTTGGGTTTTAGGGTTTCGGGTTTAGGCTTTAGGGTTTCATATGGAACAGGATACGGGGAGGGCGTTCGGTAGCTGGGGCTCAGACAAGCAAAGCCTTAACATATCTCTCCACCTAGGCGGTTCTCTAAATGTTGGTCCCTTTTTGTGTACCCTACATACAAAGCCCAAAGTCATAATAGGAATCCCAACCTATCAACCGTGATTAAAATATGAGAAAAAACTTTCAGGCAAATGCCCAGCTCTCTCTCTCTCTCTCTCTCTCTGGCTCTCTCTCCCTGTACATGGTAGCCCAGTTTCTTTACAAAGAACCTAGAACCAAACAAAGGCAAAAGGCAAAAACAGGGGTCAAGGGTTTGAAGGTGACCACGGAAAATAGTAGGTACATGGCAAGCTGATGAACTCCTTCGGCTCCCTTTTCAGGATGGGGTTCAGGTTTTCGTAGGGTTTAGGGTTTAGGGTTTGGGATTTAGGGTTTGGGACCCTGAACCCTAAACCCTAAACCCTAAACCCGAAACCCTAAAGCCTAAACCCTAAAACTCTAAAACCCTAAACCCAATCGTATATGCTGGCTTTTGCGGCTCCGTTGCTTCCGCCTGAATTAAAACGAACTGAAATGAAAGACACAGCTGGAAGTGAGATGCTCTATGTGGGCCCTAAACTAAACCATCATATTCAACGAGAAATAGACATCCAATAAAAAAAGAAAATAGATCAAGCCCATCTATATGAACCCTAAACCCCAAACCCTACCTCCTGAATCCTAGACCCAAAACCCTGGACCATGAACCCAACACCCTAAATCCTGAACCGAAAACGCACATGAACCCTGAACCAGAACCGAAAACCCTAAGCACCGAGCCCTAAGCCCTATGCTGTGCGCGCACTGAGGTCCCCCACCACTGTTGCGGTGTCGTCCACGATGCCTTTCTCCACAAACACTGCCTTGATCGCCTGCGGTCGGGGGTTCAGGGTTTAGCGTTCAGGGTTTAGGGTTTAGGGTTTAGGGTTTTGGGTTTAGGGTTTAGGGTTTAGGGCTTAGGGCTTAGGGTTTAGGGTTCAGGGCTTCGGGCCAAAAGTCAGGGGAGTTGCGGGATGGCACCCAGGTCTTCGGTGACCGCGGCCATTCTTGTACCTAAGGTCTTCTTCGGAAGCAGCTATGTGTTTTGGGGGGTCCTGTTCGTTTGGGTTCCCCGCCCTAGAGCTTAACCCAGAACCCTAAGGGGTTTCGGGTTTTTGGGGCTCCAGGAAACGATCAACTTATCGAGCCATCACCAATCCACCCACCCCCCCGGGCCCTAAACCCCCACCAAATCCAATACCTAACGCTCGAACTTCGTCTCCGAAACCCTAAACCCTACGCCCTAAAAACCCCCAAACCAAGCCCTAACCAAACCCAAACAACCCAAGAGCCTTAAAGGCCATAAGTCAGGCCTAAGCCCCAAAAAGCCAAAGCCCGAAAACCCAAACCCTAAAAACAACCTACAACCACACCACTGGGGGCGGGGATGGGGGGGGTTGGGGGCCCGCCGGGGCACAACGATGAAAAAAGCAAAAAAGATAGCAGCATAGCACTAGACATAGCAATAGTAAGGAAAATAGTAAGAAATTTACCTTATAAAGCCCTCCTTTGCCTAAGTGCCCCCCCCAAAATGGCCCCTACGTGACCCCCCTAGCACCCCTAGCAAAACTCACTCCTGTTGCCCCTGCAAGCTGCGCCTCACGAGTCCTCTTGCCGGCCATGGTGGTGAACTCGCCCGGGACGGCCACGATGATCTGGGCAGGGCTGGGGTCGAAGCTTCGGGGGCTTACAGGGCGGAGAGCTTGGAGCGTAGGGTGTAGGGGCACTTAGGGCCCTTAGAATGTCCCTAGGATAACCTTAAGCATGCGCAGCACCGCACCCGTTCATCCTGCAGCATGTAGGGAACATCCACCCCTAAACACACCAACATTCTACACCCTAAACCCTAAAAGCCTTGCGGGCCAAGCGGGCTGGGGCTTCCCCGTTGGCCCGGTGCTCGTAAGAGGCAAGGCTGGAAACAATTCCCCTATGCACCCAATCAGGTTTAGGTTTAGGGTTGGGGTTTGGGGTTTGGGGTTTAGGGCTTGGGCTCTGAAAATTTAGGAGTAAGGCAAATAAACCCCAAAACCTAAACCCAAAATCCTGAACCCTAACCCCAAAACCCCAAACATTGAACCCAAATTAGCCCCAAAGCCCTGAAACCCTAAATCTGAACCCTGAACCCCAGACCCCGAAACCCCGAACCCTGACACCCTGAACCCCTGAACCCTGAACCCTAAACCCTAAACCCTAGACCCTAAACCCTAAACCCTAAACCCTAAACCTGAACCCTAAACCTCTGTGCCAGCCACGCCACCAGGCTTCCAATCCTCATCATCTGGAAGCCGATGGTCTGAGTGGATTTGGCTTGTTGTCTAGGGTTTAGGGTTTAGGGTTTAGGGTTGAGGGTTGAGGGTTGAGGGTTGAGGGTTTAGGGTTTAGGGTTTAGGGTTTAGGGCTTAGGGTTTAGGGTTTAGGGTTTAGGGTTTAGGGCTTAGGGCTTAGGGTTTAGGGTTTAGGGTTTAGGGTTTAGGGTTTAGGGTGTAGGTGGACGCTTGACATCTACCACAGTCTTCTTCTGCTTGGAGTCCCATCTCATGTAGTTCCAATAGTAGGGAGGGTTCTCGTCCGTGTGGTGCCTGCCCCTGATGGTCAAGGCGCTCGCGAGGGTAACGATCGCAGTGTCCTTGTCCAGGTTTGTGCTCTCATAGCTCATATGGTCAAACGATTCCACTCTGGAGTGCAGCTCGTGCAAGAGACCGATGAACAAAGTCTGCCTGACAGGCATGTCCGGCATATTTTGGGTTCTGTCTGACCTCCACTTTTGGTGTATGTTGGCCAGAGCAGGGACAACGCTTCCAGGCTGATGGACGGTTAGGGTTTAGGGTTTAGGGCTGAGGGTTAGGACCCCTCGAGAGCTCCAGGACAACCCTTAGGGCCCACGTCTGTTGCGCCTTTTCAGGCCTGTTTCGCTGAGAACTGCCTATGGGATCTTGGCAGTTTGGGCCCAGTAGGGCTTAGGGCTTTGGGGTTCATCGGGCTGTTGGGATGGGGGTGGTGTTGTTGAGCTTGAAAGGGCTTAAGGTGGCTGGGAAACCTACACGAAGCCCTCCCCCTCCCCCTTCTCCGCGTGTGAGCCCTGGTAACATCAGATTCGGCTCTCTGACAACGGCCCCAAGACTTGAACCGGTCTAGGCCTTAAACCCTGAGCCCTGAGCCCTAAACCCTAAAACCCTAAAAACCCTGCCACCCTACAACCCTAAAACACTAAAACACTAGAACCCCGAAACCCTACAACCCTAAACCCTAAAACCCTAAAGCCCTAGAGCCCTAAAACCCCTAAAACCCTAAAACCCTAAAGCCCTAAACAGCAAGGGCTTGGGTCTGGGTCTTTCTTGGAGGTTCATGCTGTACTTATAACCCACTTATAAGCCGCTGAAATGCCCTAGTATGGTTATAAGTACAGTTATAAGTACGGTTATAATGGGTTAATAAGTACCATGAACCTCCAAGTAGGTGTCAGGGCTTGGGCTTTCGGGCCACAACCCTCCGCAATGAGCTCCGCACACCCAAAGACCGCCCCCAGAAAGCCCCAGAAGTCTTGACTGTTCCCGGAGCCCTAGACCCTAAACCCCTAAACCCTAAACCTTAAACCCTAAACCCTAAACCGCGTTTAGGGCTGAGGGCTTAGGGCTGCAGGCCTCAGGGTTTAGGGTCCAAGGCAACAAAAAGCGCCAAGTTCCGGAGCAATCCCAAGCCCACGCAGCTCGGCACCCGACCGTGGGGAAGTACGGGTAAGGCAAGGCCCTGAGGGTGGCTTCGAGATTTTGGGGTTTAGGGTTTAGGGTTTAGGGTTGAGGGTTGAGGGTTGAGGGTTGAGGGTTGAGGGTTGAGGGTTGAGGGTTGAGGGTTGAGGGTTGAGGGTTGAGGGTTGAGGGTTGAGGGGTTTCGGGACTTGGGGGGTTAAAGTTTGAGGGCTTGGGGCTTAAGGATTTGCGGTTTAGGCTAGTCTCTGTGTGGTTTTGGGAGTTTGCGGTTTAGGTTTTAGGGTTTCGGGTGTCAGGACGAAGGGTTTAGGGGTTAGGGTTTAGGGTTTAGGGTTTAGGGTGTAGGCTCTAGGCTTTAGGCTCTAGGCTTTAGGCTTTAGGCTTTAGGCTTTAGGCTTTAGGCTTTAGGCTTTAGGCTTTAGGCTTTAGGCTTTAGGCTTTAGGCTTTAGGCTTTAGGGTTTAGGGTTTAGGGTTTAGGGTTTAGGGTTTAGGGTTTAGGGTTTAGGGTTTAGGGTTTAGGGTGTAGGGTTTAGGGTTTAGGGTTCAACCCCGCAATCCAGGCCATTAACCCGGATGTAAGGGCTGGAGGTCCTCTGAGGGGCATTGATGTTTTGCTTGTCCTCCTCTGCGGGGTACGCACTCTGGATTTGCGCTGAGCACATACGTCTGGAGTTAGCCGTTTCTGAAGACTGGTCGCCCAGTAACCATATTATAATAAGGGTACCCTTTTTTTGGGTTGGTTACTTTGTAAGGGATCCCATGACCAAACAAACCCTAAACCCTAAACCCTAAGCCCTAAACCCTAAACCCTAAACCCTAAACCCGGGTACCACTGGGCTACCAAGTTCAAGACCCGAGAAATTTTGGACACCGAGGCGCAGTGCCGATGGCTGGCGCTTTTTTTACGAAGAGGGTTTAGGTTCAGGGTTTAGGGTTTAGGGTTTAGGGTTTAGGGTTTAGGGTTTAGGGTTTAGGGTTTAGGGTTTAGGGTTTAGGGTTTAGGGTTTAGGGTTTAGGGTTAGGGTTTAGGGTTGAGGGTTTAGGGTTGCGAGGTGCGTAAACTTTGGGATTATAAGGGGATTCTATTACCCCAAAAAGGTTAAAGGCTACCTACTCTATTACTGGGGTTTTTCTTGGCTGCCATGCATTCTAGGGATTGGGCTCAAGGGTTCGGGGTTCTTAAAGGGACTTGAACGGAAACCCAAACGAGTAGGAATATAAGAGGGTTATACCTACCAGGGTCCTCATATCTCCTGTGTTTTCCTACGACATTCTTGGGGTTTAGTTCTGCATCTTTAGGAACCCTACACCCTAAACCCTAGCCCCTAAACCGTAAACCCTAAGCCCTTTACCCTACACCCTAAACCCTAAGCGCTAAACCCCAATCCCTAAACCTTAAACAGCATCGTGCGGGCAGGCTGCATACCGCCGGGGTGCAGCAGGATGTTCTTCGGGGCCTTGTGGCTGCGCTCACGGCCCAGAATTCTCTTAGGGCTTAGGGCTTAGGGTCTAGGATTTAGGGCTTAGGGTTGACGGTTTTGGGTTTACGGTTTAGGGCTTAGGTAGGGTTTAAGGTTTAGGATCAAGAAAAACTGCGGCCTCAAAGTTTAGGGACTAAATCTTGAGTATTAGCTTGTAGGGTCTGGGGGCTTGAGGGTTTACTCAGGACTTAGGGTTTAGGGTATAGGGTTTGAAGTTTCGGGGTGGTTTATGCATGCAGGCACATGCGAATCTCTTGCCACAGCAAAGTTTCAGGGGTTTAGGGGCTTCGTGGCTTAGGTTTGAGTCTGGCGGTCGACGGAACCCGAAACCCCAAACCTTCCTTCTCGCCCCTCGCGCCTGGCAATCCTTGTCCTCCTGCGATGGCAGGGAGATCATGTGCGCAATGAACCTGGGAAGGTTGAGGGGTTTAGGGTTTACCCTAAACCTTAACCCTAAAACCTAAACCCTAAACCCCAAGACTCTATCTGAGCTCGAAACGCGAAACGAAAGGGTCTGGGGCTAGGGTTTTCGGGCATAGTTGGGCCCGGGTGGGAGGCTTTGGTTCATGCCTGTCTTGTTGTGGCAGTATCACCCGGACATAATGTTGCGGCCAAAGCCCGCGGCCGGAGTGTTCTTTAGACTGTCTTGTGGGTCTTAAGACAGTCTAAAGGGGCGTTGAAGCACCTTGAGGTTAAAAAACACACCTACTCTGCACCGAAACCCTAAACCCGCCACTGCCAATCCGACATAGGCGCAGCTCAGCAGCTGCAGGAATCCGTTGCTGGGCGTCATGTTCTGGCCGAACTCGTTCACGCCACTGGGACCGTCCTCCAGTCTGCGACTTCGCTCGACCATTGGGGGTTCAGGGCTCAGGGCTACAAGCCATGGGAGCCCTCAACCCTGAATTGTATTTTTCAAACCATCTAAACTCAAGGCTGAGGCCGCCCAATCTAGATTCTGCGTTCCGATAACCCCCGAGGCCCCTAAAAGCTGGAAGGCTCTGGAAGGCCGCGGAGCCCGTCCGGAAGCCCTGAACCTGAAAGCCTGCCCTTCTGCATGTCAGACCCCAAGAGGGATCTTGAAAGCATACAACTGAAGCGAACTTAGGCCTAGACTTAGACTCAAAGGAAAAGGTTTGGGTGGCTAGTATAGGGGCCTGAATAACTAGAACAGGGTTTTGGGGGAGTTATTATAGTATACTTATAAAGGGACCATAAGGGAATACGATTAGTAACTATTCCGACGCCTATCTTAGGCCGACAGCGGGAGAATAGGAGGGTCTACCTCGGCATCACCTGGCCTTGATGCAAGAATTCTCCGTTCACCCGCAATTCAATGGCAGACCCTAAACCCCAAACCCTTGGACCCTCAGACCCAAAACCCTAAGACCCTAATCCCTAAACCCTAAAACCCTAAACCCTAAAAAACCCTAAAAACCCTTATACCCTAAACCTTACCTGAACCCACCCCTGCGGGGTCCGTGGTGCCGGCTGCAAAGGAAGTGCCCAAGCACGGCGAGCACGTTTGGGCCTCACTTGGAGGTTCAGGGGCGAGGGGGTACTTATAAGTCGGGTTCAGGGTTCACGGTTCAGAGTTTAGGGTTTAGGGTTGAGGGTTTAGGGGGTTCAGGGTTCAGGGTGCAGGGTTCAGGGTTCAGGGTTCAGGGTTCAGGGTTTAGGGTTTAGGGTTTAGGGTTTAATGAACCTGTAGGTTCACAGGTACTTGGAGTCGATCCGATACCCCAAACGGCCGGAATCTCAAGCCGCCCCCCCCTTCACTGGCCCTTGCAGGCAGCGTCTTCTAGGGGCCTTAGATTCTCAGAATAGGTTTTTTTTTTTTTTTTGGGGGGGGGGGTTGGGTTGGTTGTTTGTGGTATAAACTTTTTTCTTATTTTTTTTTTTTTTTTTTTTGGGGGGGGGTTGGTTGTTTGTAGTATAACTTTTGTTTTTGTTTTTTTTTTTGGTTTGGGGGGGGGGGCTCAGGATGGAGAGCTCCAGGCCCGAATCTCCCAAACTCCTGGAATCCTGGTACATCCAGAGGGTTTCGGGTTGAGGGTTTAGGGTCTAGGGTCTCGGGTTTAGGGTTTAGGGCTTAGGGTTTAGGGTTACCCCACGACCCGGAAACCTCAAGATAAACCCAAAAAAGTGAAGAAGCCGAGGCCCTAAGAGCCACAAACTCGACCCTTGAACCTCTGAACCCTAAACGTTGCCTACCCTAAGCCCGGTAAACCCTGAACCCCGCACAAAGCTAGGACCTAAACCCTGCAACCTTACGCCTAAAGCCTGCAGTTCGATTAAACCCTGTAATGTTGGACCTTGCTTAGTGTTGGCCTCCGCTTTACAGACAATTTGGCTGAGCTATTCAGGACACCCTGACTGTTTGGGGGAGGGCGGTTGGATCCTGAATTAAGGCAAATCGTCCGGTTGGATCCTGAATTAAGGCAAATCGTCCGGGCGCCGTAAGAAAATTCCACATGGCGCGCCTTTAGAAAAGATTGCCGGGCATCGCTGCCCCGTTTCAACTTATATTATAAATTCCTCCCTATTGAATTCATATAAACCCCCGAGCCCGTTTAAACAGGAGCAAATCCCGCCTGTTCGGGGGGGGGGGGGCCTACAGAAAAGCAAGTGCAACATTAAGCCCGACAAAATCAAACCCCCGAACCCTAAATCAGATAAACCCTGAACCCTAGATCGGTAAACCCCAAACCGTTCACAACCCTGAAACCCAAACCTGAAACCCTTCAAAACCCTGAAGCCCAAAGAACTGGTCTGAGGCGGGCTCCCAGGTGCCGTTTCCGTCGAGGTCCACCCAATACTTGGAGAGGTCCTCGGAGCTGGGAAATCGGGCTTCGGGTTTTGTAGGTTTGAGGGCTTTTGGGGTTTAGGCTTGTTGGGGTGTATGGGGTTTAGGGTTATAGGGTTTAGGGTTTAGGGTTTAGGGTTTAGGGTTTAGGGTTTAGGGTTTAGGGTTTAGGGTTTAGGGTTTAGGGTTGAGGGTTTAGGGTTTAGGGTTTAGGGTTTAGGGTTATAGGGTTATAGGGTTATAGAGTTTAAGGTTCAGGGTTTGGGGGTTTAGGGTTTAGGGTTTGGGGTTTAGGGTTTAGGATCCACCTCTCCCCCCAGCAAGGGATGCCAGGGCACGGCGAAGCGCACGGCATAGTTCAGGCCGGAGCCTGGCGGGTTTGAGGGCTTTAGGGCCTTCAGGTTTTATTAACGCTAAAAAGACCCTAAATTTAGGGTTTTTGAACGTTAACCATCCCTAAATGGGGATTTTTTAACGCTAAAAGAGAGCCTGGCGGGTTTGAGGGCTTTAGGGCCTTCAAAAGTCCAGGGCTTGCAGGGGTTTAGGGTTTAGGGTTTAGGGTTCTAGGGTTTAGGGTTTAGGGTTTTAGGGTTTAGGGTTTCGGGCTTCAAGGCCTTCAAGGGTCCGGGGCGTGTTAGGGATTTAGGGTTTCGGATTCTAGGGTTTAGGGTTCAGGGTTTTGGGTAGAGGGTTTAGGGATTAGGGATTAGGGATTTGGGCTTTAGGGGGATTAGGGGCTTTTTAGGGTCTGAGGTTCGAGGCGAGGGCTTTTGGGGTTTTTGGCTTTACAATTTGGGGCTCAGAGCTTAAGGCTTGTAGGGTCCAGCGTTTCGGCGTCAGGGGTCATCTTGGCTTCGGGCTTTGGGCTTAGGGTTAGGGGGGTTAGGTTCAAGTAGGGCTTGCACCACAAATGGCAATCTGGAAATCTTGGCCGCTGCGGAAATGCGAATATTGGTAAGTCGGCTTGGCACCAAGGGCCGTGCCCACCAGTTGCAGCACCCTGCTCCAGGCCGGGAACACAATGGTTCTCCTGTGGCCCTGCGCAGGTGTTGTATGTTGCCAAGCGCATAACACACCTTGCACGGACTCTGCGCTCCGCGCGCAAGCAATCAGCTGTGTGGACTTCGTGCTTCACATCCCATCCTGGAAACAGCACTGAGGCCGCAGTGTGGATTGCAGAGTGGCGCCTTCTTGGCCAAGAACTGGTTCGAGTTCAGGGCATGTCGTCTTGGGGTTGAGGGCTTAGGGTTAGGAAGACGGTTTAGAAATTCTCCCGTTACCTTGAGATAAGGGCTATTGGACTTCGCGGCATATTTAGCGTTTTGCGAGTGATGCGCAGAGGAGTCTACACATCCCACGCCCTAACCCTGTCCTAAACTTGCATTTTATTGGTGGGGAGTCTTTGTACAAACCCTTACATACAAATAGAGAGAGAGAGGGAGAAAGAGAGCAACAAAAAAAAGTAAAGCGACTATAGCCTTACACAAAGGCGGGACCTGGGATGATAAGGTTAAGGCCCATGCCCCTCTGGCTGCCTATGGGGGTCTTCGCTCGGTCGAAGATGTGCTTGGCCGCCGTGAACTGTCTCTCCCCGATGATGCGCGTGGACTCGTAGGCATCCTTGCTACGCGCGGCTTTGGATTCATAGGGGCCTTCTGCCGCAGAAAATCTCAACTAACCATGTCGAGAAAGACATGATACTCTTAATGTCACCCTTTACCCAAGAATTAAGAAGCAAACAATCATGGCGCCACCCACCTAGACAAAGCGCGGAAGAAAGGGCCATTGCAATGGCTCGTTTCAGCACTTGCCTTCTAGGCTTTCTTCAGGATTTGAACACTTGCAGGGAAGATCCAAGCAATTGTGGACCCTCTTCAAGAAAAGCCGTAAGCCTCAAACCTTCTTTAGGATACCAAGAAGGGGACCAAAAGCCAGATCAACCCCCAACTGCTGAACAAGTCACCACCCCTTGAGGCCCCCCAGAACCCCTAAACCCTAAACCCTAAACCCTAAACCCTAAACCCTAAACCCTAAACCCTAAACCCTAAACCCTAGATTAGGGAAGAGCTGTGTTTTCTTCTGCCCGGCGGCGTTGCTGGGACCTCGGCCGCGGCAAAGCTCGTTCTTGTGCTGGCCGCCATCCCAGCAGACCTCTCTGAGCTAGGTTTAGGGATTGAGGGTTTAGGGTTTAGGTTTAGGGCTTAGGGTTTAGGGTTTAGGGTTGAGGGTTGAGGGTTGAGGGTTGAGGGTTGAGGGTTGAGGGTTGAGGGTTGAGGGTTGAGGGTTGAGGGTTGAGGGTTGAGGGTTGAGGGTTGAGGGTTGAGGGTTGAGGGTTGAGGGTTGAGGGTTGAGGGTTGAGGGGTGAGGGTTGAGGGTTGAGGGTTGAGGGTTGAGGGTTGAGGGTTGAGGGTTGAGGGGAGGGGTGAGGGGTGAGGGTTGAGGGTTGAGGGTTGAGGGTTGAGGGTTGAGGGTTGAGGGTTGAGGGTTGAGGGTTGAGGGTTGAGGGTTGAGGGTTGAGTCCAACAGCCTCTCCTCTGAACCTGCCGAATGCAGCAGAAGGCTGGAAAAAGGTTTTAAACACCTCTGCAGCCACGGCTCCCCCACCCCGCAACACCATGTGGCTCTTGGATTTTGGGGGGTTTAGGGTGCAGGGTTTAAGGTTTATAGGGTTTAGGGTTTAGGGCTTAGGGCTTAGGGCTTAGGGCTTAGGGTTCAGGGACCTAAACAATCCGAGGCCCGAAACCCCGCAGGGTTTAGGCGAAGCCAATGTGAGTTTTAGGGCTTCAGGGCCCAGAGGCCCTAAGCTTAAACTACCCCGAAGGCCAAGGAGAAGGGCTGAAGAGATTGGGGGTTTAGGTTGGGATGTTCCCCTTATACTAACCGTCCGTAGTAGAGATCATAATAAGGAGTAGGTACTAAAATCCCTATTAAGGACTGTTAGGAACTTACTGTTGGCTCGCCTTGTCTTGGAAATAAGCACGCTCCTAATCTGAGGACTGTTAGTATAACTACTATTTGCTTAAGAACCCAAAAAAGAATATAAAACACAAAAACCCTATATTGCCGTTAATAAGGAGGAATATTTTGTATTTTTCGAGGTGCTTAAGCAACTAGTAGATAAGGGGGAACATGTCAAGGTTTAGGGCTTATAGGGCTTGGCTTACGGGAATCCCGTGGACACGACATGCACCAAAGCGGCCGAGTACTGATTCTCGCAGGACAGTCCGGTGTTGGTGCAGAAGGAGCCGTTCACGTTGGGCGACACATCCTAGGCTGGTAAAGGGTTTAGGGTTTAGGGTTTAGGGTTTAGGGTTTAGGGCTTAGGGCTTAGGGCTTAGGGCTTAGGGCTTAGGGCTTAGGGCTTAGGGCTTAGGGCTTAGGGTTCTGGGTTTTGGGTTTAGGGTTTGGGGGCCTGTTGGCTGCAACAATTACAATCCCCAGGACCCTCCCACGAACCCCAAACCCTATCTAACCGACGTACCCTAAACCCCCCTCAACAATCCTAATCCTCAACCCCCCTAAACCCCAAACCCTAAACCCTAAACCCGAAACCCGAAACCCTAAACCCTAAACCCGAAACCCTAAACCCTAAACCCTAACCCCTAGCCCGAAACCCAAACCCTACCACTAAGCTCCACGTCCTCACCCTTGCTGAAACTTTTCAGCTCTGAAGGCTTTGAAATCCGCAAAAACCCCAAAACCCTAAACCCCCGGCCTAGCTTTGGGACCTACTACCTGCCCATGGTTCCAACCTTAGATTTTGGGTTTTAGGGTTCGGGGTTTCCGGGTACTTGGGCAGTTTATGCTATAACTGTGCAGGAGCTCTAAGGAGTGAATGGTGGCAAAATGAGGCTCTGATTTCCTTGCTCATGGCGCATGCCCCATCGCTCTGCACATGGCCATGCTTGCTAGGCTTCGCATTGATACAAGTAGTACGGTTTTCCGGAGCATTCTGCGGGAGACCGTTTGCCGGACTTCCATGCAGGATTCAGAGGCTGAAAAGGACTGGTGACGATCAAGGCTTTAGGGTTTAAGGCCCCTCAACCCTAAACCCGAAGTCATACCAGGCATTTTTTAGAGTCATAGGTCGTCCGAATACACGAATATTCACATGCTGCAGTTGTCTTGCAACTGTCAAGGCTCCGTACATGCGCACCCCCAACGAAGGACCAAAGGCACCGACACTACAGGCAAGCTATTCACACGTTCTATGGCCAGAAACCCCCTAAACCCTAAACCCCCTCAACCCCAAACCTTAAACCCTAAACCCCCCCTAGACCCCCTAAACCCTAAACCCTAAACCCTAAACCCCCTAAACCCTAAACCTTAAACCCTAAACCCCCGAAACCCGCCCCCCCCCCCCCTAAACCCTGAACACTAAAATCCCTCATTTCCCCTGCGCCAGCTCCTTTAGGCTGAGCTGCCCCCGATGCTCCCTGCGCGAAGGCGGCAACGAAGGGCCCTGCCAGCCCCGCTGTCTCCGAGGTTGGAGACAATTAGGGTTCATGTAGGGTTTAGGGTTTAGGGCTTAGGGATTATGATTTGGGGTTCATTTAGGGTTTAGGGTTTAGAGCTTAGGGTTTAGGGTTTTGGGGGTTTAGGGTGTAGGTATTAAGGATTGAGGGTTTAGGGTTTAGGGTTTCAGGACTGAGGTGTAGGGTTTCGGGTGTAAGGATTGAGGGTTTACGCTCTAGGGTGCAAGGATTGAGGGTTTAGGGTTCAGTAGGGTGGAGGATTTGGCGGGGGGGGGGGGGGGCCTTGTGAAGCCTGTTGAGGGGGCCAATTTGCATTCTTCCACGGTCTGAGCAGCTTAGGCGCCTGAACGGGTGTTTAGGGTTTAGGGTTTAGGGTGTAGAGTTTAGGGTTTAGAGTTTAGGGTTTAGAGTTTAGGGTTTAGGGGTATACGATCATGCCGTGGGGATTCGCTAAGGGGATGCCGCGGGCAATTTGCTCAGGCTCGTGCTTCAGGTGCTCCTCAACTGCTGAACAAAGTATCACCGCACCCCCCCGCAACCCTAAAGCCTTGCACTTGAACCGCTCAGATATATCAGCTTCGGCTCGTACAGCGGGGTGGGGCTTGCGGTTTTCTAGACCCTAAACCCTAAACCCTGATCCGCACCTCTCCCGGACACACGCTCCCAGGGCGGGCCGTTCACAGCTCGCTCAAAGAGGTACTCGGCCACACCTCACGCCGATCGGCTTTGTAGGATTTAGGGGAAGCTTGGGGCTTGGGGAAGATCAAGGGCTTAGGGAAGTTTAGGGCTTAGGAAAGTTTAGGCCTCAGGGAAGTTAGGGCTCAGGGAAGGTCAGGGCTTGGGGAAGTTTAGGGCTTAGGGAAGTTTAGGGCTCAGGGAAGTTTAAGGCTTAGGGAAGTTTAGGGCTTAGGGTTGGGGGTTGCAAGTAGACTAGCAAGTCACATCAAGCTTGATAAATGGGCACACACTGCCACCAACTTAGCTTCCAGAGCAACTCTGCGCCCCAAACCTTCAAGTTCCAGCGCAACGGTAGATTGTAGCACATAACATCTGCAAAACGATGTATGATGCTTTAGTGTCTTATTGTAGACTGAAGCAGACAGTCTAGTCTAGGCTAGCCGAGCATGACATGCCATAGCGAAGCATGGTATGAGCACAGCTTCGGAAGAGTACAGCATAGTAGAGCTAGTAGGGTTCCCTTACTTTCGTAAACCCCCGAATGGCCGCGGGCCTTTGTTGTCACCCGAGATGAGGTCGTGATCACCTCAAACACACAGAGGCCGCCAACTCCGGCTTAGTGGCTTTAAGGTTCGGGCCGCAGGGCTTCCATTCCCGAAAGCCCCTAAAACCCCCGAAGTCCTCAACTCAATAGCCTGAACTCGAAAACCCAAACTCCGAGGCCAGAGCCCCCACCCCCCCCCCCCCCAAAAAAAAAATAAAAAAACTCCGGACCCCTAAACACCGCTCAAACCGAAAAAATGTCTCACCTAAAACCTGAACCCTGAACTTTAAACTCTCAGCCCCAAAGCCCTCAAAGATTGCAACCTCGGGGCCCCAAAAAACTCGGGCTTAGGATTTAGGGTTTAGGGTTTAGGGTGTAGGGCTTCGCGTTTGGGGCTTGGGGGTTGGGGGTTTAGGGTGTAGGGGTTAGGGTTTAGGGTTTAGGGTTTAGGGTTTAGGGTTTAGGGTTTAGGGTTTCGGGGGATCATGGGCCTTGGTTGGGGAGGGATACGTGGGGGCTTGTGGAACTTGGGATTCGGGGGTTTCACATTAAAGGCTTTTGGGCCCGCGTACCCATAACTCCTAAAACCCTAAGCCCCAAACCTTAAACCCCAAACCATGACCTAAGTGCGGTTATGGGGTTTAGGTAGGGTTTAGGGCTTAGGGCTTAGGGCTTAGGGCTTAGGGGCTTAGGGGCTTAGGGGCTTAGGAGCTTAGGAGCTTAGGAGCTTAGGAGCTTAGGAGCTTAGGAGCTTAGGAGCTTAGGAGCTTAGGAGCTTAGGAGCTTAGGAGCTTAGGAGCTTAGGAGCTTAGGAGCTTAGGAGCTTAGGAGCTTAGGAGCTTAGGAGCTTAGGAGCTTAGGGCTCAGGGCTTAGGCCTTAGGGTTTCCTAGCTACGGATGATGGACCTCCAAAACACGTAAGTCCCTTGCCCTCTGGCTGGCCTGGGCTCTTGTTACAGTAGGGAAGTCAAACTAAGCTACCGCAAGAAGGGCGCCAGACTCTATACTAGTGACCTATCACCCTAAGCCCTAAACCCTAAACCCTTTCCCCTAAACCCCAAACCCTAAACCCTACTATCTGCCCAGGACGCTGTTCATGGAGGTCGTGTGCACGGCATACCAGTTTAGCACACCCATCGGCTCGCCTGCGTGATGGCGTGTTAGGGTAGTTTCATGGTCCCTTAGTATGGGCTCTTAAAAGGGGACTGCGTGATGAAGTGTTAGGGTAGTTTCATGGTCCCTGGGTATGGGCTCTTAAAAGGGGACCCCTTACATACCCCTTATCTACCCTATACAACTCAAGGGCCCATACTTCAGAACCTTTAACACAGTTCCTTAGGAACCAAAATAAGGGACCATGTAACTACCCTTAGATATAGGATCTAGGGATTGAGGGTTTAGGGCTTCAGGTTTGGGGTTTGGGGTTTGGGGGGAGACATCAAAATCGTGAGGGTACGCCTTGAGAAGATCCTAACCGTTGGGTGGATTTGTTGCTGGGCCTCATTTAGGGTTTAGGATTTAGGGTTTAGGGTTTAGGGTTTAGGGTTTAGGGTTTAGGGTTTAGGGTTTAGGGTTTAGGGTTTAGGGTTTAGGGTTTAGGGTTTAGGGTTCAGGGCAGAGGCACCTTGACCCTCAACTTGACCCTCAACGACTCGCAGTGTCGGGTCGTGGTGCCAGGATTTTGGGGCTTGGGGGTTCAAACTTTAAACCCAACACCCACGGGGGCTTAGGTTCTTTACACCTTAAAACCCTAAAACCCTAAAGCCCTGAAACCCTGAAACCCTACTCCCTAAACCCTAAACCCCAAACCCGAAACCCCAAGCATTCAGGCGGGCTAATTAGGCTCTGTTTGAGTTTAACTAAGGTTCAGGGCTTAGGGAGCAGCTCAGTGCGTGGCCGGTTGTGGCGTCCACAATCTTTACCAATGGCATCTCACGGTCCTCTGTTCAGGGTCTTGGGGTTAAGGGTTTAGGGTTTAGGGTTTAGGGTTAGGGTTTAGGATTTAGGGTTTAGGGTCAGGGCTCAGGGCCAAGAAAGGGCAGTTCGGGTTTGAGGTTGAGTTTGGTTTCTGGAGGGCCCGAGATGCGAATGCCGCGACGTCGCTAGGGCTTGCCGAGTCTCGGGCTTCCGGCTTGTTGCGGGCTAGGGCACATGGCCTCTTCCACTTCTTCTTGTTGTTCTGATCGGAATTATTGCTGGGCTTTTCTTGCTGCTGGTTACGTTACCACTACTGCAATTACTTACTTGTACCAGTATGACTCATCGGCGTGCTGGAGACTACTGCTCAAACCCGAAGCCCCTAGACCCCAAACCCTCAATCCTAAACACCCAAGCCTGAACCCTCAGCCCCAAAGCTCCTCTAAGCACCTAAGCCCGAAACCCCGAAAGACCCTAAACCACGCAAACCCTGAACCCCCACAAACCCCTAAACCCCCGAGACCCTAAACCCTAAACCCTAAACCCTAAACACCGGATTGCAAAGCGAGCATCCAGGTTGTCGTTGCCGAAGTACTCCTTGCGCTCCTGGCAGCTTGGGTTTGAAGGGCCTGGGGTTCTGGGTCTAAGGTTTCGGGGTTTTTGGGGTGTGGGGTTTAGGGTTTGGGGTTTCGGGTTTAGGGTGGTTCTGGTATTTGGAGTTTGGGTTTGGGGCTTGGGGCTTGGGGTTTGGGAGGCGGCCCGAATTGAAACCCTCAAACGGCCCAGCTTTGACCCTCCGCTCCCCCAAAAGCCAAGGGCCAACCCCCATGTGGGCACTTCTCTAATTATGGTCCCTTTTGGGGTTACCATTGTAAGACGGCCCCTAACATGCGGGTGCCCCCAATAAATTTGAGAACTTGCCATGTAAATTCAAGGTCCTCGGGCGCGAAACGCTTAGGGCTTGGGGGCGGCTAAAGGTCCAAGGTTCTGAGTGAGGTTCTGGTGCCTGAGCTTCTTGAACCCTAGCTTGGAAATCGGGGGGCGGGGGGGGGGGGCTTAATCTCCCAAACCCGAAGCCCTAAACCCCGAACCCTAAAACCCTAAAACCCCAAACCCTAAACCCTATACCTCCACATCAGGTACATCGTTCAAACCCTAAGCCCTAGACCCCATACCTCCAACATCAGGTACATCGTTCAGGGTATGGTGCCACGAGGGCCCATGATTTACTAGACCCGGGAGTAACCTAGGAATAAACAGGGTACCCTTTTTGGCTTTAAGGGGATTTTCAGGGAACCCCAACCCTAAAAAAAGGAAAAATGTGCCTAGATTCAAATCAAACCCCCCCCCCCCCCCCCCCCCCCCCCCCCGAAACCGTGCTCCCAGCCCTCGACCTGAAGCTCTCACGGGTTTGCTTCGGCTTTGGTTCGGCTGGGGTTTAGGGTTTAGGGTTTGGGGTGTGGGGTTTAGGGTTTAGGGTCTAGGGTCTAGGGTTTAGGGTTTGACCCAAGCTAGCACGGATAAAGGCTTTAACCCACCTCCCCGCAACACCCCTGAAAGCGGCATCCGCTTGCCTCCGCCGGGTTGTGCATAAAGGACGTCGGACTTCGATTGATGCTGGCGCAATTCCTTTCCCGAAATCGTTTCTTGGAGTCCAAATGTCCCGAAACCCTAGACCCAAAGCCCTAAGCCGTAAACCCTAAACCCTAAACTCCTTTCTCAACGTTAGGGTTGCGAAGCTTGCAGTTCGGATCCTCATCGCTCAGCGTGCAAAGTTTCGGGCTCTCATGGGTTCATGGCGGCTTCTTCGACAGGTCCCCGAAGACCCCCCAAAACCCCCAAGAGCCCCCCAAGCCCTCGGTAGGGGGAGGAGTGGGAGGGCGGGGGGGGACCCAAGGTGAACTTGCCCCCTAAACCCTAAACCCTAAACCCTAAGCCCTAAACCCTAAACCCTAAACCCTAAACCCTAAACCCTTGCATGCCAAGAGCTTCTTGGCCTTCTTGAGTGCTTAGGGCTTCGGGTTGAGGGCCTCGGGTTGTGGCTCTCCTGGGGTTGAAAGAGCGACTTCTGGCCTTGGGGCTTCAGGCGTTGGGTTAAAGACTTGGAGGTTGTTGGGTTTTAGGGTTTCAGGGTTTCAGGGTTTCGGTGTTCAGGGTTTGAGGATGTTAGGGTTCTAGGGTTCAGGGTTTCAGGGTTTTAAGGTTTAGGTGCTTTGAGCTGTTTACGCAACGCCAAGAGGCGGCATCGGGCAGCCAGGAACCGTGGTGTTGTCGACCATGCCGCTGCTGATCGTGACCTTGCTTCACACTTTTCCCCCCAAAACCGAAGCATTCTCCAGCAGAGCATAGGGGGCTTGGCTTTTAGGAGATTCGGTTTCGAGGGTTGCCTGGAGGAAAATGGGGTTTAGGGTTGGTTGCGGTGGTTCGGCAGAACCCTAAACCCTGAACCCTAAACCCTAAACCCTAAACCCTAAACCCTAAACCTCGGCTTTCCACCACGCCGAGCAGCATTCGCCGGCTTGATGTTGTGATGCGCCAGCCAGACAGCCTGACGGAAACGCAGCGATTGGGCCGTTGTGGTGCAGGCTGCACACTCCACCCATACAGGCGGAGACCGAACCTCAAGACCCTAGACCTCAACCCGAAAGCTCTGAACTTCCGTAAATTCAGCTTTGAGCACCCCCTAAGCCGAAGCCCGAAACCCTAAACCCTCGCCCAAACCTGCAAGGAGCCTCGGAGATACCATCCACAAGGCTGGTTAGGGATTGCTCCACGTAGCCCATGGAAGAGAACCTCAGTTTGGGGGTTTGCTTGAGCTTTATGGTTCAGGGGGATCCAGGGTTTACAATGCTTGTATGGGGTGTACCGGGTGACAGGTTTACAGGCCCTGGGTTTGGGCAGGCAGAGGCTAAACGGCTCTCAAAAACGGGCAAAAAGACTTAGGTGGGAAACCGGGTGAGCAGGAAAAACGCGGAGGGCTGAAAAGCCAAGGAGCTGGAAAAGGTAGTAGGCACTGGCTCCTGCAACCAAGGTTGGCTTGGGTCCGTGGACCTTCAAAACTAGAAGAAATTTGAGCCGAGCCCTCAACCCCCAAAAAAGCTCGCAGATCCCTGAACAACTCTTCATCTGAAGGAACCCTGCGACAGATACGTTTGCACGAACAGGTTTACCTGCTCCTGGAACAGTGCTGCGAATCTGTGGTGATGTTTAACGTTGGGAATACCGACAAGGTTAGATCGCTAACGGCGCGGTTGGCGCACGACCGATTCGCGGCGCTCGCTGGGCGTGGTGGTCGTTTGCGTCAAAACCGTGCTTTCACCTAGGGCCGGACTTGGCTGCGGGATTCAGGTGGGTGGTTTTCACACAAACAACAAAGTTTTGGCATCGTCCGACGTGACAAATCGCAGTCTCGCTCAGGATTTGCAATTGTGGGAATCATGCTTACGCGCGCGCAACATGCGAGCACGTTCACTGAGCGTCGCTTTGGCTTCGAAAGCAGGCTCCCGCCTACCTCCCATGGACCTTCCGCGTTTAACTGAATCGAGTTCCTGCCTCGGCCGTGTTACACTGCTTGGGGTCTATGCCGGAACGAGTCTCGAAAGACGGGCATTCACAGTGTAACAGCGTGTAACAGAGTGTAACAGTGTAACAGCTCTCCTCCAAGACAGAGCACCCTAAATCCCAAAGCCTAAAACCCGACAACCCCCAAGACCCAAAAACCTACACCCTAGGAACTAAACCCCCAACACCCTAAACTCTGAATCCTGTGGAACCTCTTAAACCTCTTAGACTCTGAACCCCTAAACCTGCACCCCCCCAAAACCCAACAAGTCCAAATCCCTATACACCCCGAATCATCTGAGGCCCTCAAACCTGAAGAACTCTGAGTCCCTTCAGACACTCTAACCTTATGAACCTCTAAATCCCGAAAACACCAAACCCAAAAACCCAAACCTTAACCCCCCAAATGCCCTAAATCGACTTCATCTTCTACAAGCCAACCCCAAGCCATTTCAACCCTTTAGCCCATCTTCAGCGCCTGAACTATTCCTCAAGGCCCCCTAGAGCCTACTTTCACTAAACCCTATACACCCCTAAAAACCCTAGAACGCTAAACCCCCAAAAACCCCAGAACTAAAACCCTAAATCCCCAAAATTTGCCCTAAAAACCCTAAAACCCCCAAAATGACAAAAAACTGCCCTAAACCCCCCAAAACCCCAAAATTGCCCCTAAACCCCCCCAAAAGCCCTAAAACCCTAAATCCTCAAAAGTTGCCCTAAAACCCCTAAAACTCCATGACGCCTGCCGGGCCGTGGTGCCTAGGCTTTCAGGAAGCTGCCAGTTGGGTTTAGGGTTTAAGGTTTAGGGTTTAGGGTTTAGGGTTTAGGGGTTAAGGGGCTTCGGGAATAGGGGTTTAGGGTTTAGGGGTTTAGGGGTTTAGGGGATGAGGGTTTAGGGTTTGGGGCTTAGGGCTTAGAGTGTGGGTTTAAGATACTTGGGACACTTGGGAGCCTGGCAAAGGGCCAAGGTTGCTTGGCGCTGGGGAAAGGGGTCAGAAGGCACGGCACAGGACACTGTTTGGGGTTTAGGGTTTGGGGTTTAGGGGTTAGGGTCTAGGGCAAGTAGGGTTTAGGGTAAGTAGGGCTTCGGGTAAGTAGGGCTTAGGGTAAGTAGGGTTTAGGGTAAGTAGGGTTTAGGGTTCAGGTCTAGGGTTTAGGGTTTATATAGGGTTTATATGGGGTTTAGGGTTTGGGGTTTAGGGTTTAGGCTTTAGGCTTAGGCGTTAGGGTTTAGGGTTTAGGGTTTAGGGTTTTAGGGTTTAGGGTTTAGGGATTAGGGTTTAGGGTTTAGGGTTTAGGGTTTAGGGTTTAGGTTGCGGTTTGAGGGTTGAGGTTTTTGAGGGTTTGGGTTTAGGGTTTAGGGTGTAGGGTTTAGTTTAGGGTTAGGGTTAGGGGTTGAGGGTTTAGCCGGTTTAGTTAGGTTTAGGTTTAGGTTTAGGGTTTAGGGTTTAGGGGTAGGGTTTAGGGTTTAGGGTTTAGGGTTTAGGGTTTAGGGTTTAGGGTTTAGGGTTTAGGGTTTAGGGTTTAGGGTTTAGGGTTTAGGGTTAGGGTTTAGGGTGAGGGTTCAGGGTCTAGGGTTTACCTTGCCAGGGATCGTGTGGGATCCCGCGACGATGAGGTTGTCACGGCTGTAGTGACGGCCTGGCCGGGACGGCCAAGGAGCCAAGGCGGGATGTGGCACATGGGTTGCCCTTAACCCGAAACCCTAAACCCTAAACCCTTCACCCTAAACCCTAAACCCGAAACCCTAAACCCTACACCCTAAACCCTAAACCCCCGACCCCCAGCCCCCGGCCTCCGAACCACTGGTGCAGCCGGTTTTCGACCCCCTGGATGACGGCCTCCGTCGCGGCCCAGGTGTCCGCATTGACCTAAGGAGGGCGGAGGACCTGAAGGGCCATAGATGTCTATAATTTACTATAATCTGAAGATCTTCATGTCTATGTATCTATCGTGCATGTATATATGTATATATATATATATGTACAGATAAATATATATATATACACACATATATATATGCTCGCCCCCCCCCCCATGATCCACACATTTGGCCTCGGGAAGGGGGTTTTGGGAGGGGGGGCGGACTCCAGACTCCAGATTTCCAGAAAAAATCTGGAGTACCCGGGCCCCGGACTCCAGACTCCAGATTTCCAGAAAAAATCTGGAGTACCCCCAGACTCCAGACTCCAGATTTCCGTACCCCCAGACTCCAGACTCCAGATTTCCAGAAAAAAATCTGGAGTACCTCCAGACTCCAGACTCCAGATTTCCAAAAAAATCTGGAGTACCGGGACTCTGGACTCCAGATTCTGGAGTCTGTAATCTGGAGTCTGGGGCCGCGAGTACTCCAGATTTTTTCTGGAAATCTGGAGTCTGGAGTCTGGGGCCCCGGTACTCCAGATTTTTTCTGGAAATCTGGAGTCTGGAGTCCGGGGCCCGGGTACTCCAGATTTTTTCTGGAAATCTGGAGTCTGGAGTCCGGGGCCCGGGTACTCCAGATTTTTTCTGGAAATCTGGAGTCTGGAGTCCGGGGCCCGGGTACTCCAGATTTTTTCTGGAAATCTGGAGTCTGGAGTCCGGGGCCCGGGTACTCCAGATTTTTTCTGGAAATCTGGAGTCTGGAGTCCGGGGCCCGGGTACTCCAGATTTTTTCTGGAAATCTGGAGTCTGGAGTCCGGGGCCCGGGTACTCCAGATTTTTTCTGGAAATCTGGAGTCTGGAGTCCGGGGCCCGGGTACTCCAGATTTTTTCTGGAAATCTGGAGTCTGGAGTCCGGGCCCGGGTACTCCAGATTTTGTCTGGAAATCTGGAGTCTGGAGTCCGGGGCCCGGGTACTCCAGATTTTTTTTGGAAATCTAGTGTTTAGGGTTTAGTGTGTAGGTTTCAGGGTTTAGTGTTTTGTGTTTAGGGTTGAGTGTTAAGTTTAGGTTTTAGGGTGTAGGGTCAAGCGGCTCGGCTAAAACCCAAATAAAACCCTAAACTCTGAAATCCAAACAGTAAGCATCTGAAACCCCGACGGGTTTTGGTTTCAGGTTTAGCTTTAGTAGGGCTCGAGGTTCTGGCCTTGGGGTTTACTGTTTAGGGTTTAGGGTTTAGGGTCTAATGTTTAGGGTTTAGTTTGAAATGTTTAAGGTTTAGTTTTTGGGTTAAATGCTTAAGTGTTTAGGGTTTCGTGCTAAGTGTTTGGGGTTTGTGCTAAGGGCTTAGTGTTAAGTTTTTAAGGTTAGTGTTTAGGGTTTAGTGTTGAGGGTTTCGGGTTTGGGTTCTAGGTTAAGGGTTTTTAGGATTTTTACAAATTTAAATCATCTGGGGAAGGCACCGGGGCTGCCCCAGACCATTGACAATTTAAAAAACCCTTCTGTTTAGGCTTTAGGGTTTAGTGTGTAGGGTTTAGTGTGTAATGGTTAGGGTTTAGTTTGTAGGGTGTAGTGTTTAAGTGTTTAGGGTTTAGTGTTTAGTAAGGGTTTAGTGCTTAAGTGTTTAGGGTTTCGTGTTCAGTGTTTGGGGTTCGTGCTAAGGGCGTAGTGTTAAGCTTTTAGGGTTAGTGTTTACGCTGGTGTTTAGGGTTCAGTGCTAAGGGTTTCGGCTTTTTTTTGGGTTAAGGGTTTAGTGTGTAGGGTTTAGTGTGTAATGTTTAGGGTTTAGGTTTAGGGGTGCTTAGGTGTTTAGGGTTTCCTGTTAAGTGTTTGGGGTTTGTGCTAAGGGCTTAGTGTTAAGTTTTTAGGGTTAGTGTTTAGGGTCTGGTGCTGAGTGTTTAGGGTTTAGTAGTGCTTAAGTGTTTAGGGTTTAGTGTTTAGTAAGGGTTTAGTGCTTAAGTGTTTAGGGTTTCGTGTTCAGTGTTTGGGGTTCGTGCTAAGGGCGTAGTGTTAAGCTTTTAGGGTTAGTGTTTACGCTGGTGTTTAGGGTTCAGTGCTAAGGGTTTCGGCTTTTTTTTGGGTTAAGGGTTTAGTGTGTAGGGTTTAGTGTGTAATGTTTAGGGTTTAGGTTTAGGGGTGCTTAGGTGTTTAGGGTTTCCTGTCAAGTGTTTGGGGTTTGTGCTAAGGGCTTAGTGTTAAGTTTTTAGGGTTAGTGTTTAGGGTCTGGTGCTGAGTGTTTAGGGTTTAGTAGTGCTTAAGTGTTTAGGGTTTCGTGTCAAGTGTTTGGGGTTTGTGGGCCTAGTGTTAAGTTTTTAGGGTTAGTGTTTAGGGTCTAGTGCTGAGGGTTTAGGGTTTAGTGTTAAGGGTTTCGGGTTTGTTTTTTTGGATTTAGGGTTTTAAGGATGTTTACTAGTGTTCAGGGTTTAGTGTGTAGGGTTTAGTGTGTAATGTTCAGGGTTTAGTTTTTAGGGTGTAGTGTTTGAGTGTTTAGGGTTTCGTGTTTAGGGTCTAGTGCTTAAGTGTTTAGGGTTTCATGTTAAGTGCTTGGGGTTTGTGCTAAGGGCTTAGTGTTAAGTTTTTGGGTTAGTGTTTAGGGTCTGGTGCTGAGTGTTTAGGGTTTAGAGCTAAGGGTTTCGGGGATGGATTTTAGGGTTAAGGGGTTTGAGGGTTTTTGCAAGTTTACATGATCTGGGGAAGGCATTGGGGCTTCCCCAGACCCACCTAAACATTAAAAATCCTTAAAATCTTATAAAAATCTTTAAGCTTCTGTTTAAGCATTCTCAGGATTATGAAGGTTTTAAGCCGTTTAAGCCTTTTAAAGACCTTAAATTGCTTACGTATTTAAGTGGCTGCCCTTTGCGGATTTTAGAGATTGTTGAAGTTGCCAATGGTCTGGAGAAGCCCCGGTGCCTTCCCCAGACAATATAAAGCTTTTAAAATCCGTAAAGTCCTGAAAGTCTTACAGTTGTAAATGGCTGTCCTTTTAAAGTTTAAAGATTTTAGGATGTTCAATTCTAAAATCCGTAACTTCCTTAATTTTAAACGGCTGCCCGTTTTAAATTTTAAAGAATTTTAGACTTTTGAGGGATAAACGTTTC